CCATGGAGGCAGAGGTCGGAGAGATGCAGCCACAAGTCAAAGAATGCTGGCAGCCGCCAGAAGCTAGGCAAGGCAGGGAAGAGACTGTCTCTTAGAGACCCCCTGGGCCTGATGACACTGTCATCTTGTTTCAGTGGTACTGATTTTAGACTCCTGGCCTCCAGAACAAGGACAGAATAAATTTCTATTGCTTTAAGTCACTAAGTCTGTGGTACTTTTTTTACAGCAGCCACAGGAAACTAATACAAAGAGGTAAGAAAGACATTTTCAAATCTTCTTAAAATATGTACATTTACAAATGTCACCTATGAAAAACGCTCCAATCTGTATTTGTATTCTTGAAGGATGTGGAAAAGTATGCTTGATTTATGTCAACATCTCATTTGGAATGATCTGCAATCTTACTGCTTTTTTGTGAGTTCCTTCAAGATTTAAAAAGACATAACCACTGGAAAACATATAGTGTAAAATCCCCACCAATTTCATGCTCAGTGAAACCCAATACTGAGCTATCCAATCTGTAACAGTTCGAGAAAGCTTTCACATGTTCTATCACAAACAGCAAACGTTAAAATGTCAAACCTAGGCTGTCAATGACACGAGGGCACAAACTGTATTTGTGTTTTTCACTACTTTATCCCCAACTTTTGGTACATTATCAAATAAATCAGCCTTTGTATTTCCTGTCAAGATTCCCTACTACCATACACTGCATGTTTGCTACACCACACTTCCCCTTCCTTTACTCTGCAGCTTAATAATGAACCCCCAGACCTCCATCCGTAATATCTCAATGGGTTAATAAGCAGCAGCCATGCCCTCGTCAAAGCCAAGGCAAACCTAACGCGCTGAAAGGAAGGAACAGTCTGACATGTCCTGTCAAGTTGTTTCACCAGGAAGAAGCCACTTACTTGAATATCGATGCATAAGCCAGATTTGGCTCCAACATTACCAACTGCTTCTGGGTTTTAAAATCCCAGGCTCCTTCCACTAAAGGACATGGCCTCTCTCAACTCACAGAACTGTTGGAACTGATTAAGGTGATATACATTAGTGCCTAGCACATGGTTTGCATTATCACATTTAGTTCCACTTCCCTTTACTTCAGAGAAGGAAACGTATCCTTAACCTTCACAAGCTTCTCTATCATGTTACTTGCCTTACAAGGTCCAGGCAACTGCAAATGGGGACAGAAAAGAGTCCTCCTAGTACCTGACAGAGGCTGGTCCCTCTGGGGTAGAAAGAAAAAGGGAAGTCACTCCTCCTGTGTCAAGCTGTGCTCTTCACCTTACGTGACCTCTCCCATCTGAACCTGAATATCATATTCAGAACCTGCCTTGTAACAGTTGTAGAGTTCATCCCTTACGAAGAAAATGTTCTTAATAATGGTACTGTGATCTGTTTATAAGTCTTGTCTTCTCTACCAGGTTGTAACTTCCTTATGGGCAGAGACTATACCATATTCAAGGCCAAAGTACAGAGCACAGTTTCCCACACAGATGACAATGAAAATGTATTTAATGGAAGTCATCAAGTCGATATACAGTATCTTATCACTATGTTAAAACAAAAGTATGTAAATTATCTGGCTTGTTCTGCTATTGGTAGTTATGCTGAGCAGATAACTCTTCCAGAATCCCTGTTCAATTAGGCAAGGATCAAGAAGTCTAGATTTCTATCTCACAGTAATTTCCCAGCTTACTTCTAAAGGGAGATATGAGCACTTAACTTTATTTACCAAATAAATTAGCACAATACCTGGCACAGACTTAACTTATAATGCCACCTAACATTTTTTATGATACTTTTTAATTTATGAAACAATTTCAAGTACAACTCATGTCATGCTCCCTGAACCCTGTGAAACCAGGTAGGTATAATTTTACACTTTTACACGTGAGGCAACTGAGGTGCAGACTATCCAAAGCAGTGGACATCCCATACCACTGACAGCTGCATCAGAGTCACCCTGAGGGGCTTGTTAAAAATTCAGATTCAGAGACATAACCATCAGAACCTCCAGAGGACAGGGCCTGAACCTATATTTTGAACAAGGGCCCCAGGCGATTTTGACACATGGCCAAATTTACAAACCAACAAGAATTCAGAGCCCAAGAGGCCTGATGGTATTTAAGAAGGAGCTTCCTTCTGTTGGGCTAGTTTACCGAAGTGAACTATGGGCTACTCCTCTGGAAAACTGAGATGTCACTTGTGACTGAATGTGCACCTAGGTGTTTCTAGGAACACAGAATACAGCAAAGATTAAACGACTCTTTACCTGGCTTGTACTCTGAGGACACAAAGGTATAATCCGTTAGAGCTGGTTAGTTTTATGTTCCTAATTAATTTCAAAACTTGCCTTTTGATATACTCTACTTAGCATTTTAATCCAAGTGCCAAAATAATTTACTTCCTCTTTGTGTTAATTGTAAGATTTTTGCTAAACAAAAACATTAAGTAAAAAGCTTCCCCCAAAAGGATGCTACTAAGAAGGCTGAATGGTTTCATCCACACTATCTGTGGCAGAGACAGTCATCTCTTTCCTCCATAAATATAGTCAAGCACACAACTTCCCTGCTAGGTTACACTTCCCAGCTTCCCTTGCAGCTGGGTATGGCCATGCAACTAAGTTTTCATGGACAGAATGTGAAAAAAACAGCGTGGGGTGACACTTACGGCCTTTTAAGACAAGGAGTGAACACTTTTCAGTCTCTTCACCTGCCTGTGAGTTGGGGCAAGGACAACACAAATGAGGGCCGTCCCCTAGGGTACTGTGAATGATCAAGGTGGAAGAAACGTGTCTCTGGATGACCCACTGAGGCAGCACCCAGAGCAACCTGGCCATTCACCTCCTCGAGATGATTCTGTGTTCTCAGAGCCATCAAAGTGCTGGCTCCCACTTACAGCAGCTTAACCGTGGACCCTAATACACTACTGTGTACGTGACAACTAGAACTAATCCCCTCTAACAACTATTTAATACATCAGCTGAGGATGTTTCTAAGGTGTCTGATAATAAAATGTTGGATGCTGAAAGGCTCTTAAAAGATCATCTATGAAAGTCTAGAGACTAAAAGACATGGCAGGAAGAACACTGGACCCTGGGACTCCTAACTTCCCAGGTCACTCTCCCTTTAACATTATGTTAAGCCTGGATTCTAAAATCATAGAAAAAAGAACTGCATTTTTAAAAATAACCTTTGGATTAATTTTATTCATTGATTCAACAAATAATCTACCCCAGCATCTGCCAGCTGCCAAGCAATGTGTTTTCAGGTGAATGCAGATTTACAGAGCCTTTCATTTCCTGGCTGTACTATGCCTTTAACCCTCCTGAGCCTGGATAAATTACACAGAAAATAAGTACAAAGATGTTAACACTATCCTGAAGGACCCAGAAATACTCAAATCAAAATCTGAAGTTTTTCCTTATAGAAAGTAATATATTAGAAACGTCTCTTCTACTTCTGCTACTGCCCTGTAATAGCCCCCACCCCAAAAAAGTATTTTCATTTGTACCCAGTCCAAAGCAAAGAAAGAAGTCAGTAAACCCAAGTAACAGTATTCGGCCTACACTCCTTCCCAGAGAACAGGGGCACTGGGGTCCTGCCTTCTCACCCACCCTGACCCGCCCCCCCCACCCCGGGGCCTGCACCATACAGGAGACAGAGGCGTGGGAACAGGCCTCACTCCCAGGAGAGACAGGAACGCCTCCTTTCCTGTGGCATACAAGAGATCCTGGTGAGCTATGTGATAATAAGCTAAAGAACAGGAAGAGCTTTTTCTAGAAAGCTAAAAGGTTTCCAAATCCCAGAACAGAGTCCATTCTAACAGTGCTTTGTCCATAAGGATAAGATCGATCTGCCTGGATGCAAAACTCCATAGAGTAAAATGCTTTCCCCCTCTGGATTTTTAGAAGAAAATCTATTAGTGCAGGTAAAACCTCAGTATTAAAAAAATTACCCAGATCACATACCAAGGTTTTCCAGGATGGGGGAGGTGGCTCAAGTCCTGTGGGGCAGGCACTGTGCAGGAGTAATCCTTACAGAACAATGTTTCTCAACCTTTTCTCCTTCGTTCCCATCACCAGGAAGAAAACTTTAGTTAAATTAAATTTCTCCTTAATGAGTGAAATTAAATATTATGGAATAAGATTCTGTCAGGTAAGGCTGACTTACTGTAATATCTAAGATTTTTTTCACTCCCCCACGCCCAAGAACAAGTTCTCCCCCTTGGGGAGTGATATCACCTCCCCCATGGAGAATGCATGTCACAGGACCTAAAAATGTGATCCTCAAACTTTACACATCACCCAGACCCCTTCTCAGACATCTGGATATGCTAAGTCTGGGGGTAGACCCAAAAATCTGCATTTCTTTTAAGCTTTCCAGAGGACTCCAATGTATATGGTCAATGAGCCACAATGTTTCTGACAAATTTCCATTGTTACACCCAAGCCCAGTAACAGGATGACCTCAATATGAGAACTATTTAAATGAAATGAAACACTGAACACTGTCACATTCCCGGCATTAAGGAGATCTGTTCAGGGGCAAAAAAGAAAAGTCTTGAGCTACAATTACAGGAGATATGATTATCTATTTCTTCTTTCTCCTGTACAAAGGACAATCACAGGATTACTGGAGAAATACTTGAGATATTTTATGGACTGTAACATGTGACCCAAAAGAAGGTTTACATCACTTATTTCACAAAGTACATATTCAGGGTTTTTATCTAGTACTTTGGTGCTTTAACTTAGGTGTAATTTGGAGCTGAGAAGGCCATAAAGTACTCATTATCTCTTTTACCCAATCTCCAAATCTATATTTATAAACCCTACCAAAATTATCAAACCACAGTTTAACTGAATAAGACAAATTATGTTAATATCATACAGCTATCTGAATGTAGTTACAGCAAAAAGGAATACAATCACATCAGTGCATTATAAAATGCATAAACTGGTCAGTAAATAATAAACAAAACAGAAAAGTCACCTTTTTCCCCTTCAGAAAAATACTTGGTTCATGTAGTGGGATGTTCCTTGGTGGTCCCAATAAACCACTCTTGCCAGTGTCCACACCTTGTACAGTCTCCTCTGCTTGAATCTGGACAGGCCTGTGACTTGCTTTTGGCCTAAAGAATCTGGTGAAGATGACATTATGCCAGTTCCAGGCATAAGTCTTAAGATCGCCCAGTGGCTTCCGCTGTTGGCACCTCCAGAATCCAGTCACCACCTCTGGAATCCACCACCACGTACGAAGTTCAACTACCCCAAGACGATGCTGTGAGAAAGCCCACAGTAACCAGATGAAAAAGTCACAAGGAAGATGTCTCAGAGACCACACATGTGCTGGAATCCAACATCTCAGACTTTCCAGTCCCAGGAGACACCATGTGGAATGGAGGCAAGGCCTGCCCAAATTGGAGAATTGTGAGCAAAGAAAAGAGTACTGGTTGTTTTAAGCCACTGAGATTTGACATGGTTCAGTAAATAAATATAGATAACTTCAACATTTTGTATGCAAGCAAACATGGAAGAAAAGTTACAATGTATGTGTTTGGAAAATGTCTGAAAGTAAACACTCTACATCTGAAATCATTTATCTTCTTGAACTGGAAAAAGGCTGGTAAATTCTGACACCTTATATTGTATCAGCACACTTCTTTAACAAACAACTCAGGACTCCTATGAGATGCTCAAAACTGAGGAGAAAAGGGGGTCAAGACTCCATCTCCAGACTAGAGATGTATACATACCCACAAACAAAATAGTTTATTAAACTTCAGTAAAAAACTTGCCTATAGATAATCTCTTTGAGAATATGTCCTACTGGCTAAGATACAGAGTAGAGTTTTTTAAACTGGTTTGTATCCTTACACAGAGGCATTAATGAGTACTGAAGAGTATTGTTACCTGCTATCAGTAAATGACAACCATGGATAAGTCTTTATATTAATGGGTTAAAACACTTATTGAGAATATTAGATATACTATGGGCCAGGCATCCCGGATGCCAGAAAAAAAACAATCCCTGCCCATAGCTGCTCAATCTAGCAAAGGCCCCAAATACAAATAATGATTTTATAAATGCTACTTAGAATAAAACTGTGCACAAAAAGGAACTAACGAGAAGACACAGCTATTCTTTCTACCCAATTCCTGCCTCCTTCCAGAAGAGCTAGGAGAAACTAAAAGAGATGACATCTGAGATGAGTAACTACGGTTATGGAAGACTTTACCCAAAACCCACCCCACAAGGAAAACATTCTAATATTGGTTCTATTAAAGGCACATTTGTCTGCTTTGTTCCCCAAGTGTCTCGAGCATCTAAATCAGGGCCTGCCACAAAATACGTACACAAACATTTGTTAAATGCAATTTAACTCCTACAGTTATGACCTTGGACATTTCACTCAGCATCATTTATAAAAGATGAATAATGGCTTATAGAGTTGCTTTGAGAATTAAATGAGATACTGTATGGTAGTATTTGGAAAATGATAATAGGTCAATAAAAAGTTTGGGTGGTATTATTATTTTAGAGGAAGCAGCATTTGTTTATGTATTTAATGCATCAAGTGCCCACTATATGCCAAGCTCTGTGCTCTATAGAAAATGTTATAAAATTAGCACAGACAATGTGCCTCAAAGGAAAACTGAGAGGAAAGGAGCAGAAAGCATAACACATGTGGGGAAATGAAAGCTACTTAGAATAGCTCTGGAGTGGAGCAAATACGGTAGGGTTGCAGATAAAAAGACTGGAAAAGTAAGCTGAGGTCCAACTATAAAGAGAACCTGAATATTTTAATGAACTTGGTCTTCATTACATGGAAACGAGAATCCTGGATGATTACAGGCTGTGGCAAAACTGCACAATCAGGGTGAAAGCAGCTATAGTAGGAGGGGGGTAAGGCTGACAAGTGTAAAAGAAAAATAATGACAACAAAAAAGATCTGAAAAGGGAACACTACAGCTTCACCAAGTACACATTCAACACAGTGGATAGTCCATGCATTTACAATTATTCTCTCACAAAGCTCCACTGAAAATAAAATCAGTATAGAAGTCAAAAAATAATAATAATAAAAGAAAGTATGGACCAATGTTTAGATAATAAAATAAAACACAGACAGTGGTAGTAGACTTAGGAGAATGAAGGAAGGCACAGAATAAGTGTCTACACTTGGAGATACCAAAGAAAATAGTTAATGTACCCCGAAACCTGGAAAGGCTTAGGACACACACACATTCTCTATGTCCACTGAGACCGGGAGAAGATCCACACCCTAAGAGCAACAAGCACACCTAATGCTCAGGTTTTGGTTTCTAATACCATTCTCCATGAAAAAGAACCAGAGCTCTAGGCAAAGAGTTCTCACACTTGACACCATATGCATGATCCATAAAGGAAAGATTTAATAAACTGGACTTCATCAAAATTCAAACCTTTTGCTCTGAAAGACTCTTTTAAGAGGATGAAAAAACAAGCTATGGACAGGGAGAAAGTACTTTCGAACCGTATCCAACAAAGACCTTGTATCTAGAATACATAAAGAACTCTCAAAACTCAGCAGTTAAAAATTTTTTTAAAACTCCAATCAGAAAATGGGCAAGACATGAACAGATATATCACCAAAGAGGAGATACAGATGGCAAACAAGCAAATGAAAAAATGTTCAACATCATTAGTCATTAAAGAAATGCAAATTAAAACCATAACAGAGTATCACCACACCTACTAGAACAGCTATAAATAAAAAACAGTGATAGCACTAAATGGTGGGGAGGATGCTGAGAAAGTGGATCCCTCACATAGTGCTGGTGAGAACAATAAAGTGGTACAGACACTATGGAAAATAGTCCGGTGATTGCTTACAAAGCTAAAGACGTGTTCACCACATGACCCAGCAATCACACTCTTAAACTTCTACCCCAAAAAAACAGAAAACAATGTTTACATGAAAATCTGTTCTCAAACATTCAAAGCAGTTTTATTCATAATATTATACAAAATATTGGAAACAATCCCAATGTCCTTCAGTAGGTGAATGGTTGAACAAACTTGGTACATCCATACAATAGAACACTACCCAGCAATAAGAAGGAATTAACTATTGATATACACAACACCAAATGGACCTCAAGGCATTATGCTTTGTGAAAAAGATTGATCTCAAAAGGTTAATACTGTGTAATTCCATTCATATTGAAGTGACAAAACTACAGACATGGAGAATAAACAGAATGGTGGAGGGGGGTGTTGGGAATACAAAGAGGTAGCAAAAGAGTTCTTCTAAAGTGATGGAACAGCTCTGTTATCTTGATTGTGGGGCTAGCTACACAACTCTATACATGGAATAGATAAGTTACAAAAGACTATACACACACGCAAATGCAAGCTTAAAAAATAATGAGAAGTGAGTAGTTCTGTAGTGCAGTTAACAGAAATGTACCAGATATATCAAATTTCCCGATTTTGATACTGTAGTAGGGCTACACAAAACTCCACTGAAGGAAGCTGGATGAAGGGCGTACATGGGACTTTATATTATTTTTGCAACTTCCTGTGAGTCTACAATTATTTCAAAATAAAGGATTTTTAAGGGGGTGGGGGTCCTTGGAAAAATAGCCAATTCCAATTCCAAGGCTGAGACAATAGTTCAAGATGAGTCTGGAAAGTGCTCCAAAAAATGATGGAGATATGCTAAAAGGACATAGAAGCAAACTTGAAGGGGCTTCTACTAGCAAAATCTGGGACAAGTGAGGCATCAAAATAAATAATTACAGTAATGGATTACAACCCACTGCATAAAACAGAAAATCAGGTACTCACAGTGATATAAAACAAGTGAATAAATTAGAAGTCTGATTACTGATGGACTATTTACACAGTCTCAAAGTATCTCTACACAAAATATTTATTACAAAGAGGGAGGAAAAGTAACTTTAAAATGGAGAAGCCTTAAGGCACCACCATAATCAAGTGATCAAAGTAAACGTCATCAATAAGGAACGAACTGAAATCATATGCCACCTGTAGTACAGGCACAACGACGCCCCTGCCTCAAGACTGGTCCACACCTTCAGCCTCAGAACCTGTGAACGTGTTACTTTACACATGGCAAAGGAGAATTATGTTTGCAGAAGAAATTAAAGTTGCCAATCAGATGACTTTAAAATTGAGATTATCCTCAATTATCCCAGTTGGCCCGATGTAATCACAAAGGTCCTTAAGAGTGAAAGGGTGGGGGGGAAGAAGAGAGAGAGAGAGAGATGGCAGCACGAGATGGGCGAGGTCCAAACTTGCTGGCTTTGAAAAGAGAAGAAGGGGGCCATAAGCCAAGAAATGCAGGCAGCCTCCAGAAGCTGGAAAGGGCAAGGAAAAACATTATTTTGTAGAGTCTCCAAAAGGAATGCAGCCCTACTGACACCTTGATTTGAGCCCAGCTGAGATGCATTTTGGACTTCTGAACTCCAGAACTATAATATAATAAATGTATGTTTTTTAAACCACTAAATTTGTGGTAATTTTTTTACAGCACAAACAGAAAAACAATAATACACCATCTAACAAAATGCACTGAAATTAATATAGCATCACTTCTATGATACTCCTGGCAAAGATACTTAACCTACATCTAATACAAAGAAACACCAGACAAACTCACATTGAGAGTGATTCTATAAAATAACTGGCCTGTATTCTTCAAAAATATCAATATCATAAAAGAAAAAAACAGTTGAGGGACTATTCTAGATCAAGAGTTGAAGAGACATGACAACAAAATGTGTTAAGTGATCCTAGATTGACTGTATCCTTTTCCCATAAAGAACACCACTGGGGCAACTGCTGAAACCTGAATGGAGGCTTAAGGATCAGACAGCTGTAATCTATCAATGTTACATTCTTGCCTTTGATGGTTGTATTGTTGTCAGGCAAGAGAATGTCTCTTTGTAGGAAACATGCACTACAATATTCAACAAAGAGACATCATGTCAACAACTCTCTCTCAAAAGATTCAGGAAATAAAAGTTATCTGTATTTTACCGGCAACTTTCCTAAGTTCGTTTTAACAAATAAGTATATAAAATAAATGTAGTAAAACCCCAAATTGCAGCCCAAACCCTATACAGGCTGGCAACTATCATGTCCCCAAATAGACCAGAGGCATGCACGCTCTCTGGGGAAATGTAAAGAGGCTCCACACGTTGAAAGATCAAGCACAACAGAGAATTGGTTTGAGGCAGAAGACGAAAAACAGAACTGGGTAAGAGTCTCTATACGGAACTGTGGACTCTAGTCCCCTTCTCCAGTTCTGCTTGCAGAACATCAGCAACAGGAATACACGTTCCCTCTCCCCCAGGCATGCGATTTACAGTTTCAATCAGGAGACATCAAGAGACCTGGAGTAAAAGCCCTAGGGTTACTCATATTCATGGGGCCCTCGAGCACCACACTAAGCCTTCAGCGAACAAGCCTCAACCTCACAAAGAGCTTCCTTCAGCTTTATTGTAACTTACTCCTAAATATAAAGCCACCAGCCCAGGGATGGCCAGATATTTGAGGAAAGCTGCCAAAACTCAAAGACAGAAATCAAAACAAGCAGAAAAACAGGAATACAGAGGAAACTGAGACAGTGCCATGAAAGGGGAAAAAAGGCAATTAACCATAATATGAATGTGCTTGAAGAGGCAAAAGAATATATGTAACCATGAAGTAAAAAAAAAATGCTAGTGGGGGGCGGGGGGGGGGGGAGGAGCAGAGAACATAAAAAAATACCTTGATGGAAAGTAAAAGTTGAAAAATATCTCCCCATAAGCGTAAAAAGTAAACAAATAAAAAATAGACAAGGTAACACTACAAAACTTCAGAACACCACAGATGAAGATCAGATCCTTAAAACTTCCGGGAAGTGGGAAGGTTCATATAAAAAGGACCAAATTTTCTAATAAACTAATGGATCTATATTAATATTTAGTAGCCACTAACATCACAGAAAGTAAGATATTTTTGTGCCTCCTAAAGATAACATACCACCTATGCAGTATTCTCCCCACTCACCACCTCTCAAAAAAAAAAACAGAGAAAAAGAAGAAAAAACCAAAGTTTTATCAAGATCTTACTGCCAAGTACAGGAAATACATTACAAGGGACGGGGAACCCATCAATGACACCACAGGGTTTCATTCAACAACATCCAAGCTGTAGAACACTACAAGACAGATGATACACTTTCTTCAACAAATAAAACTCACAGGGAAAAAAACCACCAATAGATTAAGAGACTTAAGAGATTTGTCAATCAATGACAATTTATGGACCTTACCTACATCCTGATTTGAATGAACTGTTTAAAAATATAATTATGAGACAATCGAGGTAACTTGAACTTTAACTGG